CTCTCTGTGCAAGAACCCACTTCGCCAGGTCTTCTTCTAGATTTGGCCACTTGACTTTCTTTCCTCTTTAGTGAGGATTTAATTTCTCAATAGCCACTTCTTCTTTTCTCCACTCGCAAACAGACTTTTCATTAATGGAAAATTTTCTGCCTGCTTCTCTATTGCCATTTTCTTTTGCATATTTAACAACAGATAGTTGAAAATCGGCTGTATATGGTTTGCACTTAGGCATCTTTAAAAATATTTTCTTGGACTATATTTGTTATAAACTGAAAAAGTTTTAAAACTTTGTGGTTGGTGTAGGTTTATATACTGGTAATAGGGTAGTGCTTATTGCTTTTTATAGCTCAGCAGCCTCAGCCATGGTTCATTACCGGGATACCAAGACCCAGTATTATCAGGCTGCATGATGTCGTACTCTCCAATGTTTATAGCTGGCAAGTGGCAACAACATCGAAGACCATCATATTCTTTCATGAAGGCGGTAGAAGTCTCTTTGATACGATAGTTGATGACTTTGTTCTGTGATAATATGTTAACTGACTGGCAAAATTATACTGGCTTTGCCTTTCATGCAAGCAATAGCTGTACTGGCGAATGCTGACAACTTCAAAGTCAGGACGATTACGGTACCATAGACAGTTTAGGGTTTCAATGATACTATAAACAGAGAGGATGATTCACCATACCCTACTATTCTATACTATGTTTATACCTAATGAAAAGAAGCCAACACAGATTTCGGTCATTTATTGTTCTTTACGAAAACCTGCGGGTTATGTACGCCTGCAGGTATTCTAATATACTTTTTACATACAATAGAAAAACTGCAGGTAATACATGAGTGTGTGTTATACTTGGATGCATGCTATATTTGCTAATTTATGGTAACCCATTTCAGTTCTTCACCACTCTCCTAAGGTATGTCTACACTACCCCGCTAGTTCGAACTAGTGGGGTAATGTAGGCATACCGCAATTGCAAATGAAGCCCGGGATTTGAATTTCCCGGGCTTCATTTGCATAAGCGGGGCGCCGCCATTTTTAAATCCCCGCTCGTTCGAACCCCGTGCCGCGTGGCTACACGCGACACGAACTAGGTAGTTCGAACTAGGCTTCCTAGTTCGAACTACCTAGTTCGTGCCGCGTGTAGCCGCGCGGCACGGGGTTCGAACGAGCGGGGATTTAAAAATGGCGGCGCCCCGCTTATGCAAATGAAGCCCGGGAAATTCAAATCCCGGGCTTCATTTGCAATTGCGGTATGCCTACATTACTCCTCCAGTTCGAACTAGCAGGGTAGTGTAGACATACCCCTAGTGATATAGGTTTTCCTAATATCTTCCAAACAGCTCCTCCTTTCAATGTTATGTAATACCATCCCTTTACGAGTGCTTCCAGTTGTCCAACTCTTGGCACAACCAAACCCTGACCTTGTTTTAAGTTGGGAGAAGAGGAAGCTGCATACCAAATTCGGTGGTCTCAGCTCTTTCTCTTTAGGAGGTGTTCTTGAACAAATGGACTTGCACACAGACACACAGATAGACAGGATGCACTCTAATATATATAGGTAGATAGATAAAGTTTGCAAACTGTAACCAGTAAATACAGATTAAGGGAAGATTTATTTTTCGATGGGATTTTTCCAAGGAGTGGAAGAGAGTTGAACTACACCGAGATTTCGGAACCTAAATCCCTGTGATATCTTTGAAAATCCCAACTGCAGTCCTAACTCAGGCAAAATTCTCATTAGTTCAGCAAGTCCTGAATAAAGGCTGTAGGGTTTCCCCTTTAAACTATAATGAAGCTGTTTTAAACACACTGTTAAATTTCAGAAGATATGCAGAAAATCGCTTTGTACTGACAGTTTTTAGTGAAAGTTTCTCTCTATTAGAGCTGTTTTTCATCTATGGAATATCTTGTGAAAAGCGCTTTTGTCACTAGGTTATAAAGTATTTGTCTCTAGGTTATAAAGAATTGGAGGACAGGACTATTAAAGGAGGATTAATGGGTTTTTTTCATCTTCAACATTTAGTTTTATTTTGGGGGTTGGAAAATAGTCTAATAAATAGCAGAGAGTTAAAGAGTTCATCTCTCTAGTACAACAATGAATTTGGAGCACTCCACAGACTAATGGGTGACTTAATAGCTGAGGTTTTCAGCAAGAGCAAAGTAAATAATTCCTAAAATATAGTGCTAAACAAAAAATGTTCTGAGCAAAGTTCCCTCTTATCCAAAAATATACTTTAATGTAATATTAAGTTTCCATAGGAGAATATAAATTCTAACAAAAATACAAATTATTTTCCCCCATGAAATTTCAAAATGATTTTAATCATATTAATAATTTTGATAACTTTTAAAAATAGATGTTGGGAGGAAGAGGAACTTGAAATGGGAAAAGCCAAAATGATTTTTTGTTTCAAAATGTTGATTTGTAATGTACATTTTTTTCTTTTGACACTAATATCCCCTATAGCAAAACCAAAACTTTCCAACAGAAAAGATGAATGGATTTTTGTTGTTCAGTTTCTCACTTTCCTGACCACCTCCACCAAAGTATTTTTAAAAACCAAAACAAATCAGTATTCTTTCATCAATAGGATCATGTAAACTATGAATTAAAATATACCCAGATGTGTGAAATTGCACAGCCTATTTGTAACTCTGTTGCATCTTTAAAAATTTCTTCAACTACACATGAACATCTTCCTCAGCAATGGAACTATGGCACTACAAGAAATCTGCCTTCCTTGGTCCACCAAAGAGCACAGAGCTGGCCATCAAGGTTCCAAAATCCTGAGGAGGCATGACCAAGGAGTACAAATTCCTTGCAACATTTGCATTTTAATACGTCGGTTATTTAAAATAGCCTTCTTCATTCAAACCATTAGAAGGGCAGTAATTCATATAATAAATGCTTTCTCTTGCTAATAAACCCCATCTGGTCATACCAGCCTGGTATGGAAATGTCAACCTCTACGTTAGAAGGGGTAAATAAAACCGGATTTCTTAGACTTTATAGAAGATTACGGTTTGAAGGACCTCAAGTTTTTCCTCTTCCTCTATCACCCCTTCAACTGAGGCAGAATCAAATAGATTCTTAGACCATCACTGGCCGGTTTTTGTCCTCTTCTTAAACCTTCATTGATGAGGATTCTACAACCTTCCTTGATAACTCAGTCCAATATTTAGCTATTCTTATAGTTAATTTTTTTCCTCATATCTAACTTCAATCTCCCTTGTTGCAGATTAAGTATATTATTTTGACTTTTCTTATCTTCAGTGGACATGAACAACAACTGATCGCTTTCCTGTTTGTAACTAGCAGATTTACCTCAAACTTTTTGCATTCAACATTACTTTCATTTACTAGCTTTAGCCTAAAAGATGCTTTGCCATTATTAATCCAGAATTTGGGGGCTTAAAATCTGGGTTCAATCTCTTGGACCTGAGCTACAGTTTAGTGGAATGGTGTTTGGAGAAGACTGTAGGGGTAAAGAAAGCAGACATGTGGTGATCTTCTGATTGCCAGTCATGACTGGTGAAATTGTCAAGGATAAATGTAAAACTTTGTGTACTATTTATATCAGAAATCTTACAGTAACTTGTATGCTTAGTAAAAACCCCAGAATAAATGCCTATAAACTCAAGTGTTCAGGATTCAAGACTAAAGGAATGAGCGGTACTGGGGTAATGAGCACCTGTAAAAGTTCCTAAAATTGATAATGTACTTCAAAAAAGTTCAAAGATAAGATGTGTTGTACTGACTTCCTAGCTATATGGTTTCAAAATACAATGGAGGAATGACTATAACAAAACTACAACACAAGAAAAATGTAAAGCTAAGAATATCAGGGAGAATGACACTTGAGATTCCTTCCAAAAAGCAAACTAATGCTCACATTAAGCCTATAGCAAGACAATCAGAATGCCAGAAACAATAACAACACAGAGAACTAAGTCCTTATTCAAGTGAATATTTATTTACATAAGACTAAGCAAGGATTGACTTAAACAGACTACTTGCATGAATCAGATGAACAGGATTTGTCCCATAGCATACCTTGCAGCAAATTTAGCCTTCAAGGGAAAAAAAGTTTATACAGCACCAACATCAGTGTCTTATTGGAAAACTCTGGAAATTATCTAAATACAATTATTTCTACTGTTTGTCTTTTATCTTCTTGTTCAGTGAGCCTATGGGAATTGATTTTTAGCTCTGAAAAAAGGTCTCCACAAAAGCTTTTCAGTATTTCTTGATTGCAATGCTACATTAACAACTTCAGTTAATATTTTCATTTTCTAAAAGTGTTAGACAAGTGTTTGGAAGAAAAACATAGTGTGCATTCTTACTAAATGTAAAGGGGGTGGGGGAATGATTGGATTTCTTGGACTCTATCATACAATTTTACATCCTGGGTTACCAGATAACCTGATAATTACTGAAAAGCTACTATCCAAAATTTGCAACCATCAGACTGCCCACTGAAATCCTAGGCAAAAAAAGTAATCAGCTGTCAATATCTTTTGATAGCCCTCACCATCTTATTTCTTCTATTGCTTTTCTTGACTTAGTCGCAGGCATTGGCAAGATCCTGAATCAACAGTAAATGTCCCAGATGGATTTGTGGTTCTGCTCTCCAAAGTTTAGTATCCTACACTGCAATTCAGCTGACTTTTTATTGAATCTGGTCATATTTTTCCACTATTAGTATTCCATCCATCTTCTCTTTGTGCTATGCCCACACCACCTGTTAATCCATCTGTGCTATTTCTCTTTATTGCTTGTGTCCCCTGCTTAACTCACTATTGCATCCACCAGTTCTTTCTCTTTAAATGAAGTCCACTGCCATCGTCCTGCCAAACTTGAATTCAAAACCATCAATTTAATTTATTTTCCCTTATCATGAACCTTTTCCCACTTAAGACTGGAAACCTCCAGTCTTAACAATCTAATATTTACCACAGTCATAAAACTGAGTGATAGCCTCTGAATAGAACTAAAAAACTTGGCAAGTGTCATTTGTTACAAATTCATGCTTCATTGCTGTATAATTTTGCCCTTGTAGTGAGGCAATGTAAATAAGTTTCCCCAAGTGGGTCACAAGCCAGATCCTAATGCATACATATGCTCTATCACATATTAATATATATGTTGCGACCATATAGATTTATATATGCACAATATTTATATGAGGCAGGTTTGTACTTAGACAGTTCATCTCATATCCCCATTAGCCCCTCTATTCCATTTGCAGGTTGTTTAGGCATTGGCCAACTGGACTGGATTTGTTGGAGATTTCCCTACGTGGATTCTAGGGGTTGCTTGTTCCTCACAACCAATCATAGCCCTGCTTTGTTTCAGGCCATTCCAAAGTTTGAGCCTCGGGCTCTAAGGTGCTGCCTTATTGGCTAGGAGGAAAGGAGGGAGCTTCACCCCTCTTCATTTAGGTTGGGAAAGGAGCTAAGGGCCATTCAAATGCCTCTTCTTCTGCTTCAGCAAGGTTGCCCTGCCAACCTCCCTGCTCCTGTGCGCTGGGCTTAGGGTGAGTGGTTGGTTCTTATCCTGAACATTCTTGTGATGTTAATTTACCGTTGTCTTGTCTTTACTCTTTGGGCTAGAGTTGCCAATTTTGGCTGGATGTATTCCTGGATGTTTTATCACATGACATAATTTTAATTAATCTTTAATTTCTGGAGATTCCAGAGCAATCCTGGAGGGTTGGCAACCTTACTTTGGGACAAGCCAGCATTGTGTTTGAGTTTTCCAAACTGTACTATACTATATCACAACTCCAGGGGCAGACTTAGAGGTTTTTTGCAGGGATAATTATTTGACTGGGCTCTGATGGTAAGAAGGTGAGGAGTATATCTATAGTGATATATTCAGAATCCCAGAGTTGTGGTGTTCCTGGGTACCTTGACCAAACAAAATTCATTAGCAGAGACTTCCTTTAGTTTAATTCAGTTTAACCCTCACTTCAAGGCAGGAGCATGGATTCATGTAAGTGATGTGTCCAGGCATGGGTGCCAGATGATATTCCTGGCTTGACAAATGTTCAGCTTTGAAGCCTGTGAATTAAGATACAATGGCTGATGTCAGAATTAGCAACTATAGCCAAGCTTTATTACAAAGAGCATATTAATTTCCCGCTGGGTTTTTATATTCCTGTTTATTTATTTAATAAAGTGGCATCCTGTGTTCCCTAAACTATGTTTTGCTTATGAGGTGTCTTTGAGGGGATTCCCAGGGCAATTTAACTACAGGATCATTAGGGATCGAGCGATCACTTGCATTATTCTCTTGGCAAGTAGTCATTATAACATTTCTTTGTTCATTGTACATGTAGACCATTAAACCACAGTTTCACAATACATCTTTTAATACATTAGCCTATTTTCATTTCCCATCCCACTTTCTGAAACTCAGACTACAATTTCTGTAATCTACTTTGTTCCATTTCCAATAAACAATATCTATCTATAATACCAGCTATCAGACATTTCTGAAAAAACTAATTGCATATGTTCTTCATTTTCTAGCTGTTATCTTAACATTTGCAGATTTGGCAGGGCTGAACTCCAAATGGGATCATCTGCTTAGAATGGGATCATCTGCTTACCTTATTCAAAAGGATTTTAACTTGTACCTTGACAATAATTTACTTCTAAGTCTACAATCTCCTTGCAGAGTTTTCTCTTGTGTGTTTCCAACTAATCAAGCAAAAAAGAAAAGAAAACTGTATAACTAATGAGCAACAAGCTTGAAATTAGTTAGCTATAAAGAGCACACACAAAAAAAGCCTCAAAAAGGTTGGGAGGAATAATGAGCTGGAATTTACTGAGAGTATATGTTCAGAAAATCTTAACAGATACTACTACTTATCATCCTGTATTTGCACGACTAGGTTTTTATCCACTGTTGACATTACTATTTGTCTTTTGTATAGTCTGAGCAATTAGGAGTTCCAGTCATGAATCAGGGCCCCTCCATGTTAGGCACCTAAAAAAACCAGAACAAAAAGACAGTCCCAGCCCCAAGAAACTTACAATTTAATACCAATTTACATTACCTAATGATTTGGCTCCTGTTCCCAAAGCAGTTAGCAGCCAAGCAACAGGTACTGTAGTAAGAACAGGTCCAGCAGAGTGAATATATTCATGTTGTCTGTGCCTGATATTTTTAAAACTGCCTAAAAGATTTGGCTGTCCAAATACAACTAAGGTCAATGCACCTTATGTGTTTTATCCTTGCTTTGAAACAGACACAAACAGTAGATACCAAAAATAAATCTTGTGAATGTTAATTTCATTTTTAAAATGTTCCCACTAAGCATAGTATCAGAGGGGTAGCCGTGTTATTCTGGATCTGCAAAAACAACAAGGAGTCCTGTGGCACCTTATAGACTAACAGATGTATTGGAGCATAAGATTTTGTGGGCAAAGACCCACTTCATCAGATGCATGTAGTGGAAATCTCCAGAGGCAGGTATAAATATGCAGGCTAGAGATAACGAGGTTCATAATCTCTCACAGTTGTCTGTGCAGTATGTTGATTGCAATGGATTTTTCACCTTCAGTCCATTTGGTGTGATGCCCAACTGTTTGCATTTGGAGAGAAAGCATAGAAAATATTGACACACATAGTTACACAAATTTTGATAGATACATGCAAATATTTCATCAAGTTGGAGATCTGAGTCTTTCTCTTCAAATCACTCTGTGGCCCAGGCCTAGGATATTTAAAGGTCTAGGAGAAGACCAGGGTCAACAGCTATATTCCCATGGCACAATGGATCTTTCTATACCAAGAGCAAAGCTCTTCTTTGCAGGAGACAGATCTTTCTCAGAGGATTGGTCAGAGATTATGAAATGAACTCTCAAGGGAATGAACAACCATCTGTGATGGGGTGTCCATCCCACACAAGACCTGATGGGGTAAGATGTCCAGGTAAGCCAGTTAACCACCTAGACTGCAGTTAGAGGAGAAACCAAGCAACAAGGATTAATTAGAGATGAGGCTCAGCTGGACAGGAGGGACTTGAAAAAAGTGCAGTAGGTGAAGGCAGCTATGGGATGCAGCTGCTCTCAGGGTGAGAGAAGGTAAGGTAGGAAGTAGCCCAGGGATATGGCAGTCATGTTTTGGACTGTGAAGACCTTAGCTCAGGGGTGGGCAATAAAAAAATAGCAGCCTGCAGGGTTAGTCCCTGGCAAGCCACCACCACTATGTTTACTGGCACCTCAGCAGGTATCAGAGGTTTGCAGCTCTGGTTGGCTGCGAATTTCCTTTTGTGACTAATGCAAGTGGCAGGAAGAGTTATGGATTGGGACGCTGTTTCCTGCTGCTTGCATTGGCTGTGAATGGCAATTCGTGGCCAACAAGAACTGCCATTCTCTGATACCTGCAGAGGCACAGATAAATGTGGCAGTGGAGCCCTCCAGGGACTAACCCACCCATGCCTTAACTGCTTATTGGAGGGTCCATGGTCTGGAACCCAGTGTAGAGGATGGGCCTGGGTTCCCAGCCAATGGGGAAGTGGCACCATGAAGAGTCAGTGAATGGGAAGACTGCCTGGGACAATAAGTCCTGAAAGACTTAAATACATTCCTGAAAGAGGAAAACAACAATGATCTGGCTGAAGGGCCAACACAATGAAGCAGGAGCAGTCAAGTCCCAGGAAGGATAGAGGGACAGAACCACAGGAAAGTGTGTTAGCCTGGCAAAGCTAATCCCTAGATGCAGCCAGGAGGAGGTACTCTGGATGTGAGTAGAACATCCCACAACACTATCACAAAAATCCTCATCTTCCATTCAAAGTGCAAGGTGCACTTCTTGTAACTTGCCTTCTCCAATATGAATGAGCAATGAGTATGTGTAGGCCAACATGAGTAATTGAACCTGGATGAGCCTTCATTTCTTGGGGAGCGGGGGAGAGAAGGGGATTTGGATAAGCAAGCTGGAAACATAATGTCCACACTAGCTAAGATAAGAGAAGGATGACTAGGGAGCCATTTCCAATGGACAAGGTAAAAATGGATAAGATGGTGTAAAGAGTAAATTGTGCATGCTCTACAGAGATTAGTTTCTACAAAGTAACAAAACATATACATGCAATGTATAGTAAATATATATATATATAAAGCAAGAGGTTCACTCTGTAATTTTGGACGTGTTATATGCTTATGTTCCTCCATTACACTTGAGTCTGATCAACTCAGAATAGCTTTGCTGTAAGCCAGATAAAGGAACTGAGACACCAGATTAGAGTTGGACTGAATTCTTGAGGAACTAAGTGGAAAAGGTTCCAGGGGAATCACAATAGTATTATAAAAACCAAAATAAAAATAAAAAATTCCAAAACAAGACACTGCACTGTGCATGCTTTTTCTCCTGGGGAGGGGATGATAGAACAAATGTGACAGATGTGCAGTTGTTTTACTTAACACATTGCTGGAAGGCGCTCAGATTTTTTGATGATAAGCACAATATAGGAAACTTCACGGACAGGGACATAGTATAGATACATAATTAGATTACATCGCTGTCAACAGGGTGGGGGGGTTCAGAAAAGAATCACTTTATTCTGTTTCTACAATGATACATCTCCAGGAATAATAATTTATCTGTTGACGATCAATCTTCCTATAATATTCCCTCTGAAATTGTCAAAGGTGACTTTCCTCACATGATATTTTATGTCTCTAAACCCAACTGGGATTTACCAACTGCAAGGAGTGTGAATAAAGAGGACCTTTCCAGCACCTGCAGTGTAAGGGCCCATCTACACAGCTGGGCTAAAGCTGAAATAAGCTACACAACTTGAGCTATGTCAATTGCATAGTTTAAATCAAAATAGCTTATTTCAGCTTTTGGTGCTGTCTGCACAGCAGTAAGTCCAAGAAAGAGCATTCTTCCTCTAACTCGCCTTACTCCTCATACTATGAGAGTTATAGGAGTCATAGTAAAAAGTCCTCCAGCTCAATATTATTTTGACAATATATCGAAATAACTACTTGTAGTGTAGATGCAGACTTTATTATTTTGGAATAACTAACGTTATTCTGAAATTACACTGCTGTGTAGACATAGGCTAAGAACAGAGCTGAGAGGTGATTCCACTACATGATTCCAGA